GTAGCTTTGAAGTGCCTTGTTGTTGTTCTTCCTACACACTAGAGGCAACACAGGTCAGGTCCACAGACAATGAAGGAGACTCCCCATAGGACTGAACAAAGCACTGCTCCCACAGAAAACATCCTCCTTCCTGCTCTGATCTTTGGCCTTAAACATCAGGCCTTTCAAACTAGACATGATCTTGCAACTTGTAAAAATATTACAAAGTAAGAAAGGTCTTTATGATAACTAACAGCTTCTCCAGTTACTGCCTCAGTCAGCTGGGCTGAAACGTTATAAAGGAGGCTTACTCATTAATAACTTGTAGTGAAGCAGCAATAAAATAAGTGAAACGTACACACTTACTCATGTTTAGCATAATCTGTATAGTTTGGAGATCAGTGACTGGGAGGGAGAACAGGTAACACATTGGGTAAATGAATCTTTTGACAAGGCTGTTCCTAATTTAAACACCATCATTTTCATCCTAACAGTTAACGCTTACTGGATACTGCGCCATGTTCTAGATTAGGCATCCTTGCATTATCTCAATGCGAATGATTTCATTTAATCTTGAGCAACCACTTTCAAGTAGGTACTATTATTAGCCCCATTTTACAAAAGAGGAAATCAAAATCCAGAGAGGATAAACAACATAGCAAAAGTTGTGTCATCTAATAAGTGGTAGTGCCAAGATTAGAAGGGAGAGGGTTCGACTCCAGGTGTGTTGGTTACTTTTTCTATATAAAGTAGCTTAACATCTAAGTAGTAGTGCTGGCACTCTGGGTATCATAACTTACCTACTCCTTACCCATTACTCATGATGGTAGATACTACTGTTATCCTATTTCCTAAATGGAGAAACTAAGGTTCAGATGGGGTGATGGTAAGTAATTTGCTCAAGGTCACAAAACAGTCATATTCTCTAGTTTTGAAACTAGTAGGGAAACAATCCTAGTTACTTTTAATTATTAGTTTTGAAAAATGTAGTAAGATATAGTCATCAAATTCTGAAAACTGTTTATTCAGAGATCAATTATTCAAAATTCTACTAGCTTTTCCTTCTTCCCCTTCAACTCGAGTTCCCTTTTGTTACCTATTTTAGTACCTGAAGATTTTAAAGAAGCAAAGCAAAGGCACCCTCAATGATCAGCTTTGCTCCTTTCTAGGTACAGTAAAAGATGGGACGAGCATAAAAGTAATTTTGGACTATTGGTGGGTTCTGATTATTCAAGTAATATCCACTCCTTATTCCATGAATAAGCCAAGAACTGACAGTCATTTTGACTTTCTACTGTAGGGAGGTGGTAGCATAGTGGCTAAAGCACTTGACTGCTAACCAGAAGGCTGGCAGTTCAAACCCACCAGCCACTCCTCGGAAGGAAGGTTGGGCAATCCTACTTCCGTAGTGATACTGCCTCGGAAACCCAAGGAGGGGTCGCTATGAGTCAGGGCCGACTCGACGGCACATAACAACAACAACAACAACAACTGTAAAAAGCAAACCCTCACTGTTAATTTATTTTGACAATCAAACCCACCAGCCACTCCTCGGAAGGAAGATGGGGCAATCGACTGCCATAGTGATACTGCCTCAGAAACCCAAGGAGGGGTCGCTATGAGTCGGGTCTGACTCGACGGCACATAACAACAATAATTAAATGAGAGGAGCTCTGGTAGCGTACTGCTTAACGCACTTGACTGCTAACCAGAAGGCTGGTGGTTCGAACCCACCAGCCACTCCTCGGAAGGAAGGTTGGGCAACCTACTTCCGTAGTGATACCACCTCAGAAACCCATGGAGGGGTCGCTATGAGTTGGGTCCAACTCAATGGCACATAACAACAACAACAATTAAATGAGAGCCTATATAAGAAATGAAAAAAACTTTTAAAGCTTCTCACCTTTCTTTCTTTTTAAATGATTGCTGTTAATAAATAACCTGCCTCTACTAAAGGACAACTTGTCCCTCTATTTTAAATATCTAGTTGTACCTCTGTGGTTTCGTCTAGAAGACACTCAGGGACTGTGCCACTGGGCACCATCTTCCTCGGGCACAAAATGTTTTTATCATTCATTAAACAATGTGGGACTGACTGGGATATGGCCTGAGAATCTTATTTACATTGTCCATACCAATCAAGCAGAAGTGACAAGGGAAATGAACTTATTTAACAACCTTGTGCTGTTGTCCAGATCTGGCTGAGCCATATGTGTACAGATTTATCCTCGGCGAAGGTCTGGTTCAAGCAAATCAGACTGAAGGAAGTAAGGAAGTCTCTGGTCCTTCCTTCAGCTTCCCGCTGTTTCCAGGATGGGCAGATAGACCACTAAAATCACCATTTTTTTTGTTGTATGTATTTCACCATGACACATTACTTCAGAAACGTAGAATCTCAGCCCATCTCCAGACCTAGTGAATCAAAGCTTGCATCTATCATGATCCACAGGTAATTTATTTGCACCGTTAAGTTTGAGAAGCACTTGCTATAGGGATGGTAGAAAAAGGAAAGAAAGAACAGGACAGAGGGACAATTCAAAGCTTCCTCTCCTCTACCAAGCCTAGGAGATTTTTCAGAAAACAGCAGAAATGCCTTTGATGGGGTGAGGAGCAAGATATACTACAACAAAGGGGAAGTGGTAGAGAA